GGACCTGATAAGTACCACTTCCTTGCAGTCACCAGGGTACAGTGACGAGTGAAACCAGGCGTAGTCCCTGCCGATAGGAGCTTAGAGCTTAGTAGAGAAATAGGCATTATTGATAGAAGATATGTATATATAAAATCAGCACTGTGACAATTGCTTCAAAAAAGCACTGAAAAACAGGTATGAGAACCTGTTATAGAATAATTTAACCTAAATAGTGTGGTCCAAGGAGCCCTGGTGGCAAAGTGGTTAAGAGCTTGGCTGCTAACCAATAGGTCAGCAGTTCAAATCCATCAACCATGGCTTGGAAACCCTACGGGGCAGTTCTACTCTGTCCTATGTGGTCACTATGAGTCGGAAATGACTCGATGGCAATGGGTTTTTGGTTTTAGTGTGGTCCAACTCGATGGCAATGGGTTTTTGGTTTAGTGTGGCCTGGGAAGACTTCCTTGAGGAGACGGTGACTGTTCTAGAAGCTGAGGTTTAATTGTAGTGAACTGGATGGGCACCTGAGGCTGGGTCTCTGCCTGTGCAAAGGACTTGGGGCCAGAAAGAGTTCACTAGTTTGATAAATTAAAGAAGACAGTGGCTGGAAGGCGGAGTGTGGGGCAGTATGAAACTGGAGAGGAAGCTGATGTGAGCCTAAAAAACCCGTTGCTGTTGAGTCGAATCCAACTCATAGTGACCCTGTAGGACAGAGTAGAACTGCTCCATAGGGTTTCCAAGGCTGTAATCTTTACAGAAGCAGACTACCACATCTTTCCTTTGTGAAGTGACCAGGTTTGAACCGCTTAACCACTGCGCCACCTGGACTCCTTGATGTGAGCCTAAGCAGACTCTTAAGATACAGTAATGTTAAGGATTATTTGGTCTTTATCCTAAATAATTGAAATATTTTAAGCAAAGTATGGAGTGTGGAGGTGGGATATGGGGAGGGGTCTTGGATCAGATTTGCGTATTGAGAGGATCACTCTGACTGCAGTATGGAGGGCAGGTCTGGGTGGCAGTGGGGGCAGCAAGGGTGGCAGTGGTGATGCTGGTGGCTCCCGCCACCGTCAGCAGGAGTTGGCAGGCAGCTCAGACTTGTCTCAGGACCCCTCCCTCCCTTCTCAGTTTCCTTCTGATGTCCCAACACCCAGTATTTTTTGACTTCATTTCCTCTTTCCCAAGCTGCAAGACCAATGCAGTTCTCACGTTCTGCACCCCCTTCCCCGACTTTATTTCCAGTTTCCCTTTCCAACTTTTGATTTTCTATTTTTCTATTCATTATATGGAGTCCCTGGGTGGTACAAATGGTTAACATGCTCAGCTACTAACCAAAAGTTTGGAGGTTTGAGTCCACCCAAGGGTGCCTCTGAAGAAAGGCCTGACAACCTCCTTCTGAAAAATCAGCCATTGAAAACTACGGAGCACAGTTCTACTCTGACACACATGGGGTCACCATGAGTCGGAGTCAACTCGAGGGCAGCTGTTTTTTTTTTTTTTTTTTAATTCATTATAAATTTTAGGAGATGGGAGAGGTGAGGGTTCTACAAGAGACAGGGAGGTAAGCCAGAGAAAGGGAGAGTGGGCAAATAAAGGGGTCAGTGGGTGCAGACCCTCCATTCCACCCACCCCAGGGAGACAACCAGCTGCTATTCCAGGGAGCTTAGAAAAAGCAATCACAGAAGGATGGTATTTATGTTTAGAATCAATTTAGGGAGGATTGCTAGGAGTCAGGGGGGTTACCAAGAATGCTATTGTCTGAGTGATTTCAATTTGGGGGCCTAAGGATGGGACAAGAAGAAGGGTAGCTAGTCATTTAAAAGGAGATGCCTGGTGGAGCAAGACCCTTAGGTGTGGGGAGAAGTCCAGAGGGCAAAGCTGGTGATATGGACCTGGGAATTGGAGAGTGTTGACATGCTTAACAATCTTGCAAGTAGAAACAACCTAAATGCCCATCAACAGATGAATGGCTAAACAAAGTGTGCTATAGACGTACAATGGGATACTACTCAGCCATAAAGAGAAATGAAGTCCTGACATATGTCACAACGTGGATGAACCTTGAAAACATGTTGAGCGAAATACATCGGCTCAAAAGGACAAATAGTGTCTGATCCCATGTACATCAACTCTCTAGAACAGGCAAACGTATATAAACCAGGGATGGATGCGAGCGAGGGGCAAAGAGGGCGTCACTGCGTAGGGGACACTGAGCTTCTGTTACGGGTGATGGAAAAGTTGGAAAAGGATAATGTTGATGGTCGCACAACATGATGAATACAATGAATGTCACTAAATTGTACCTGTGAAGAATGTGGAAATGGCAAATGTTTTGTTACATACAGATTCACTACAATTAAAAAAAAAAAATCTTCCAAGTGGTTAATGCCTACAGGGGAATCGATGCAGACAGCAGAAGTCAGGACCCGGTGGCCACCGGAATGTTCCTGGGTGGAGGGGTCACACTGATCTCTCCCAACCTCTGACCCTCGATTTGTCTCTGCATTCTGCAAATTAAAAAGAAGGGCGAAGGGAAAAAGGAGGTTTGGAGTCGCTGTGGTTGGCTGTTTGATTTAAGTCCTGATTTACAATGACCTCGTGTTTGTTCTGTGTGGGGCAGGGCTGCACACGCCACCAGCTGATCTGACAAAGTTTCAAGAGGGCTGAGCTACCAGGACCTCGCATTACCAGAAATACAGCTTTTGGATCATGAGGTTTAGCTGAAGGGAAGTTTACTTTATCGTTGTAGCAATGACTGCAGATAACGTTATCAGAGGAATTTAGTGTTTAGGATTTGGTGCTTTGGTTGGAGGTTCAAATCTACCCAGAGGCGCCTTGGAAGGAAGGTCTGGTGAGCCACTTCTGAAAGATCAGCCATTGAAAACCCTGTGGAGCACAGTTCTACTCTGACATACACGGGGTTGCCATGAGTTGGAGTCAACTCCATGGCAACTGTTTTTTTTTTTGGTTTGTTTAACTTAAAGGTGAAAGTCACACTCAAACTAAAGAGTTTCCATTTGATGAGCTCTTTTCCTCTCCCTCAGCCCCCAGCAGTGGCTGCCATGGGGGCTGCAAGTAAGGTATCGGGCCTGATGCATTTTATGACTCCTCAGTCACAGCGCAGTCTGTGGGATTTTATGACTCCTCAGTCACAGCGCAGTCTGTGGGGTTTATAAATACCGGCTTTGGAGGGTAATGTTTATGTATGAAATCATTTCACAGCTTCTCACAAAGCAGAGAAGGCGCTGTGGGTTCAGATGGATGTGCTTATGTTGGAGTTGCCTTGGCTGGCGAACCTGGACCTCACCCATCTCTGAATTCCCCTGACCCACCCTCACAAGGTTTTGTCCATTCACTCTAGCTGGTCCCTGGCAGCACAGTGGTTAAAGCACTTGGCTACTAATTGAAAGGTCAGCAGTTCGAACCCGCCAGCCACTCCGAGGGAGAAAGATGTGGCAGTCTGCTTCCATAAAGATTGCAGCCTTGGAAACCCTATGGGGAAGTTCTACTCTGTCCTATAGGGTTGGTTTGAGTTGGAATTGATGGCAGTGGGTTTGGTTTGGTAGTGAGGAGCAGGGGGAGAAGGTTGTTATTACAGTATAGAGCATGAGAGCATGTTTGGTCTCTGTCCTCCAGGGTTGGATCTGGCTTCTCCTTTACGTTCTTCCTTCTTCTAAAAGTGCAGTTCAGAGCTCATGGAAAGGGCCGCATTGGCACAGAGGCTGTGGCCTCCCTGGGGAATCATGAGTCATTTCCCTTCCACAGGCTTTTTTTTTTTTTAAATCCCAGATCAAAGGGATCCTTGGATGAGAGAGATGTGCCCAAGGATAAGGGTAAGGGATAAGGCCTAACCTGAGTTGTTTTTTGGTTTAAAGTTTTTTTTTCTATTATGCCCAGAGGTAAAACAAACTAGTGACCATGTTTACCCAAACGCTGGATTGTTGTTGTCAGCTGCCTTCCTGTCGACCCCTGACTCATGGGGGCCCTACACGCTGGCTCTTGTGATCCATAGGGTTTCCACTGGCTGATTTTCAGAAGTGGATTGCCAGATATTTCTTCCTAGTCTGTCTTAGCCTGGATCTCCACTGAAATCTGGTCAACATCATAGCAACACACAAGTCCCCACTGACACAAGAGTGGTGGCTTCATATAGGGTGAACGGGCCAGAAGTTGAACCAGGGTCTCCCGCGTGGGAGGTGAGAATTCTACTACCAAACCAGCACTGCCTGTCAGAAACACTGGATGAGCCCCCCTTCTTGATACTGGCTGCTGCCATGTGGCCTTGTTTGCCCACAGACCCTGTTCTATGCTGCCGTTCACTCTCTCCATTGACAGGTTCTGGCAGAGCATTCTGGGTACTCAGGTGAAGTTGTAATGTGTAGAATCAGCTTGGTCCCTCCCCCAGAAACCATTAGGGATGTAATGAGATTTTTTTAAAACCTGCCTTACAAGTTGACCATGTAAGCTGGGAAAGTAAAAGGGGAGGTGTTAGTTCTTTGGGGGCACACTTCTGACTACGCAATGTGATCTTTGGTATGTTTGAGTCCGTTTTCGGCAGCTATTGCATAGTGACTTCCAACCTAGGGGGCAGAATATATTGGACAATGTTCTGTTGTGAACTGTGTGGTTTTCACTGGTTGATTTTCAGAAGTAGATTGCCAGGGCTTTCTTCCTATTCTGTCTTAGTCTGGAAGCTCTGCTGAAACTTGTCCACTATGGTGACCCTGCTGATATTTGGAATATGGTGGCATAGCTTCCAGCATCACAGCAACATACAAGTCAGGTGGTGGGGAGCAAGACAGTGGAGAAGAAAAGATGACATGGCAGTGGCTGAATGTCCACTGGAAGCTCCTGATTTACTGGCGGGAGACCTGGTGGTGGACCGGTAAGATGTGAAGTCTAAGTCATTGGATGGATCCGCTGGGGAAACCAAGTGGTCAACACAGGGGGATTAAGCTGTACAGTTGATTTATGCAGATTCATTGACTTAGCGCCTTGAAACATTGTTTGTCTTCTAGCTTCTGGATCCAGCTATCAAATCCTAGAAGGCCCCAAGAATGCAACAGTGCTGGAGGGCTCGGAGGCTCGCTTCAATTGCACCGTGTCACAGGGCTGGATGCTCATCATGTGGGCACTGAATGGCACGGTGGTTCTCAGCCTCACCCCCAATGAGCCCATCATCACAAACAGCCACTTCACCGCTGCCAGTTATGAAGTGGATGGTAACTTCGTCTCCGAGATGATCATCCATGACGTGCAGCTCAGCGATGCTGGACACATCAAATGCAGCCTTCAGAACAGTGACCGGGATGCCTCTGCGTTTCTTTCAGTCCAAGGTGTGTATGAAGGTGGATCTGCAGGGGGGCAGGGGAACATCAGGAGCCCATTGCATTAGATGTCAGAGGGCTGGAGGGACTTCAGAAGTTCATATCATGTCTGACGACATATATTGTCTACCCTTCAGTAGGTGTTGTGCTTAGAATTATGCTGCCTTCAGTCAAGTTTATTGCTTTGTTGTTTCTTTCTCTCTTCCTTCTTTTATCCCTTCCTTTCTTTTTCTTCTATTAAGACTCTTAGAGAAGGATTTTTATCACTTCCCCATCTAATCCATTTCAGTACCTAATACCCTTTCTGGAAATGTGTCTTGGAATTCTTCTGGTGCCAACTGCAGTCATTTGTGTTTGCTTTGGAGTCCCTGGGTGGTACAAATGGTTAACATGCTTGGCTGCTAACCAAAAGGTTGGAAGTTGGAGTCCACCCAGATGCACCTTGGAAGAAAGACCTGTCATTCTGGTTCTGAGAAATCAGCCATTGAAAACTGTAGGGAGCACAGTTCTACTCTGACACACATGGGGTTGCTGTGAGTTGGAGTGGACTCAATGGGGAAGGGTTTTCTTTGATTTAGATGGAGTGGACAATCATTGCTCCTTCTCTAATTTTGCATATATTGTACTTGACTATATTTGTTCGCCTTATATCACTTATCACTTTTGAAGCATGCTTTAACTCTTTCTTCTTCCTAGCTGAATTTCTCCAACTTATTTCTCTACCTTGTCCCCACCCACAGTGGTTTCTATAATCAAAAGTGTGTGTTCACCAAAAATGCTAAGTCTTTTAGTAAAGACTCAGTGGTTAGGAGCTGGGCTGCTAACCAAAAGGTCGACAGTTTGAGTCCACCAGCCACTCCTTGGAAACCCTGTGGGGCAGTTCTACTCTGTCCTATAGGATTGCTATGAGTCGGAATCGACTTGACGGCAACAGGCAACAGATATATAAAAATTATAGTAATGAATAACTTACTTTTTTATCTTTAATGATAATTTTAGGTGCCAAAGGTCATGTTACCTAGTGAATAAAATATTATCAAGGGATTCTTTAGAAGGATTCTGAACATTCTTATCAAAGTCTAATCACTTTGCAGTCTTTAAAAGTGTATTTATGTATTATTGATAGATGCATTGATGCTAATAGAGCTCCTGATTTCTATGGTAGCATTCTTGACCTTGATGAAGTGTGTCTTTGAATTTTTTTTATATATCTTTGTATTACTTGTTTAGGAGAAACTCCCTAAGATTCTGACTGCATTTGTGGTTCTAGCAAACCAAATTTGATAGCATTTGGTAGAGATACATGTCTACGTCTTTTAGTCGTATGCTTTTACTCTAGAAATTCAACAAAATTGCCATGTCTTTACTTTTCATGTCTTTAATTCTGTGTGATTTAATTAGGGGTAGGATGCTATTTTATAAATAAGTGATTTTATGAGGCTACTTAGGATGATTGGCCTAGTTTGCATGACCAGATTCTTATCACAATAATTTGCCATGTAAGGGAAAGAACACAGGAAGAGGAATCAAAGGGGTGTGTTCTGGCTTTGCTTTTATCACGTCACTCCCCGGGTGTACCCTGAGATGGCTCAACTTCTTCATCAGTAAAAGGTGATAAGATTTCTCTGCCCACCTCAAAGTTTTATTACGAGGATTAAATTTAAAAACACTGACTGAGAGGATGGCTTGGAGACTCCAGAGACTTATCTGATTTTGTGTACAGCATCTTAGGTTGGAGAGGTGTAGTGGTTAATAGGGCAGACTCAGGAGCCTGAGTGTCCAGGGCCAAGTTTCAGCTTTCTTCCTTACTAACTATATGCTCTTGGTCAGATTATGTAATGACTTTGTGCCCTAGTGATCTCTTCATAGGGCTAGGGTGGGAGCAAGTGATTAGTCTACGTAAGGCCTTTATTTAGAATAGCCCAGGCTCATAGCAATTACTAGACACTCATTCACTATTATTTATTGTGTTCCCAATAGGAGTAGACCATTGTGTTAGGCACTGAAGGGGACTTAAAGATGAATGGAGTCCCTGGGTGGTGCAAAGGTTAACGTGCTTGCCTGCTAACTGAAGGGCTGGCAGTTCAAGTCCACCCAGAGGCTCCTTGGAAGAAAGTCCTGGTAGTCTACTTTAGAAAAGTCAGCCATTGAAAACCTTATGGACCACAGTTCTACTCTGATCTGACACACATTTTTTTTCTAAAAAGTTGAATGGAATAAGACACAGTCCCTGACCTCAAGAACTTGACAAGAAGAGTAGATAGGACAAGTGTGCAAATAATCATGGTGCAAAGCAGATGCTGGCAAGTGTGAGGGGAGGAAGACAAGCTTAGGTTCAAAATGGAAAGGCAGATGAGAGAATCAGGAAAGCCTTCTTAGGAGACTCCATGGAGAAGGTGCATTTGAGATTGTAGATTATTCAGTCTGATGGGAAAGGGAGAGCGGAGAGAGCAGACCTGGATCAAGGAAATACAGGGTGAGAGTCATGGCTCATTAGTGCTATGCTTATGGCACAGCAAATTTGTTAAACCAAGTGGTTTTGTAGCATCTTTTCCCAAAGCCATAAATCTAAAAAGTCATATGAGAAGCCCTATCATGCCTTTTTATATAATGGTAATTATTGTAGCTTTTGCTTTTAGTACAGATGGAAGAATAAACATCTAGAGAAGTTAGAAGCCTCCAAGGTCACACAGAAGGAACTCACAAAGTTGGGCAGAACTCTGACTGTTTTATCCTGGTTCCGTTGGTCTGAATGGCCTTCTGTTTTTAGTGGTGGAACGAATGTTCTCTGGACAATAGCGTCTTTCTCAAGGGAAAAAAGAATCTTGAAAGAGGAAGAAACACCCCATTTATTTTGAAAATGAATTATCCAAGGATTGGGTCCTCCCTCCATGTATCAACAAACAAGAGAGTTTACATAACTCCAAGTTGAATCATCTAAAATCTATGTGAAAACCCTCATCATAAACCTTTGTATAAAGTGTTTACCATGCTAATGGATAACCTTTGTGAAAGCGAATTGGGGAAAAGTTGAATCCCAGTTGCACACACAAAAAGGAAATGATTCAAACTGCTGCATTTTTGTCCATTTATTGTCCAATCCATCAATTAATCACACACCCAACTCTAGACCTATTGTGCTTTGAGGGCCACAAGGACTTCGGTTCAAGATTTTCTGTTATTAACTGAGGCAACACCATTCCTCTCAGTTTCTGTCCTCTTAAATCTCCCCATCAAACAAAATAAAACAATGAATGGACAGACAAAACAAACGTAAGAACAAACACAAAACGCTTTAGCCTTAAGGGACAAATCCTTTCCCTACTCATTGTTGCATTTACAGGAGTCCTTGAATTAGCAAGGCACCTTCCTTATTCCAAGAGACTATTCAGGAACGGAATAACTGGAAATCTAACACTTCAAAATAAGAAGCACTTTTAGAGATGATCTAGTTCAGTGTGGAGTCCCTGGTGCAAATGGTTAACACAGATGACTGCTAACTGAAAGGCTGGTGGTTTGAGTCCACCCAGAGGCACCTCGGAAGAAAGGTTTGGCAATCTACGTCTGAAAAAGCAGCCATTAAAATCTCTGTGGAGTACAGTTCTGCTCTGACGTACATGGGGTCGCCATGAGTTGGGGTAGACTTGAAAGCAACTGGTTAGATCAGTGTCATCTGGGATTCTTGGGTGCCCTCCCTTTCAGAGTGGTCTGTGATATCAAAACTGTTTTCATAATAATACTGAGATGTTAGTTGCCTTTTTCACTCATTCCCATGAGTGCACAGAGAAATTTTCTACTCTACATTGGGAAGGTCTACATAACTCAGTGAACTCCATCGTTTTCCAAATGACTGATGTATAATCATACAAAATCATGCAAGTGTAAGAGAACCATTCAAGCTATCAGATAGAGCAGTGATTTTAATGTAACAGAGTATGAAAGCTCCTTGATAAAGTTTCAGATTCCACAGTGCAATTAACTTTTTAAGAAACCACCACTTGTCCAGTTTTGGTATAGTATCAAAGAAGAATATCCGTTAGTGGTTAAGAGCTACGGCTGCTAACCAAAAGGTCAGCAGTTCGAATCCACCAGCTTC